CCTACGCAGGTCTATCTGGAGACGCGGGACAGCATTGTCACTGCAATGCTGTTCTTTCTCCCGGCTCCAGGGAATGGGACTGTGCAAACAATTGTTCATGTAGATGTACGAAAGCATGCCTGTTGGTCTTGGGCATCGTGCGCACCAGGGATGGGCTACTCCGATTTAGCGTTGATTCTGATTCCAGGTCTGAGCCAGTCATTAGTTTGAGTTATTATTTTTTGCGGACTGGTCTCCAATCCTGGAATCCCTTCCTTCTGTCTTTCTCTTCTAGACTTACCTCCTCTGGGTAGGGGGGAGGTGGACGGAGGGGGTTGATTTGACTCTATGGAGCTTGTGGAAATGTCCTAAAACCTCACCAGGACTCACTAACTTAACTGAGGAATTAAGTTGCTCCGACCTTTTGCCACCTCTTTGTGCTGAGAGAAATTGAAAGGAAGGCAAGAGGGGAAAAAACGACAGCTCCAAAGCAAGAGGCTTGGAAGAATCTGTTCTGATTCCAATCACCAGCAAGTTCCACGGGCGCAGTCGGAGCACCCTGAAGGAGTACTGCAAGCAGATCAGATGGTCTGCCATGGAATGTGTTGGTCGAGGACCTGAATCTCAAATTCCTTATCCTTAAGACAAGGGAGACTTTGTCTTCTCTGTCCACCTCAGAGAAGAAGTGAATAACATAAGAAATATTAGAATGCCAGAGCAAGCTCAGGCACTAGGAGATGTACTTTACTTTGCATCTACAGGATTGGAGTTGATCCTGGCACTGCTTGGTCCCCTGAGCACCATCGGTGGTTTCGGTGGGCATGGTGGCCCCTGGCAGCACTGGGAGGGAGAGGTACTTCTCACCAGACCCCAGCACTGCACCATCTTGGCAGGTAGAGTGTTTTGGGGGAGTGGAACCTGGGCCACTGAAGCAAGTCGCCATCCAGTGAAGACATCGGAGAATGTTTACGACTGAGTTGTGTGGTTCCTGCCCCAGTGTAGAAACCCAGGGAATCCTCATTGTCCCGGTGGGGCTGGTACAAACAAGCACTTCCATTATTTTAGAGACTTAGAAAATTAGGGAATAAGAGGTGGGGAGGGAAAGAGTCCCATGGGTAGGGCACCTCCCTGGCACATGGTCAAGCCTGTTTGAGCCCAGCCCAGCATAGGTCCCTGAACAGGAGCAAGTCCTGAGCACAGAGCCCGGGGTAAGCTCTGAAATCAACAACAGTTAAAAAACCAACAACAGTCAAACAAACAAAAAACAAGCAAGCAAGAAATCGGGCTGGCAGAAGAGACGATTGCATAGGGTCCGTCCCTGCCGTACTTCTGTCTCATACCTGTGAGAACCTTCCATGTCACCTAAACAGCATATTCTCCAGCTAGACGAACCTATAAAATGTTACCCAAGTCCTAGACTCTCGTTCGGGGACCCGTAGGCAACTTCTAGACAACCCCAATCTCTCTATTCTTTTTCCCAGCCTCTTACTTTTCTGTGACACTTGTCACCTGTTTCCCCCCCTCATGTGACAGTATTTCTCCATCCTCAACTCCAGATTCCTTCTGTGTGACACAGGCCCTGGGCCCCACAATCCCAGCAAATCCTCATGGTCCTCTGTGAGCTTCAATAGGGGAGGGGCCGGTGCAGATACCCCTCTGCCCCTAATGTGGTCTGGTCTCTTGGGTTGTTACTGGTTGGTACCTGAGCTGTACTCGGCCCTACACGTTCTTTCCTGAGATGCTGGTGGAGGCGGTTTTGACCTGTGTCCAAAGAATCAGAAAACATGGACTGGTGAGAGGCAGAGAGGGAGGGAGAGACAGAGAGAAACCCAGAAAAGAGGGGTGAGGGCTGAGTTGACCTAAGCCTGTGCCCCAGAATGAGGATTGCTAAACTAGGTCCTTTGGATATCTAACTTTTCGATTCTTTCAAGTCTTTCTTCCATTTCCATTCCTTGGGTTCCATGATCCATCTCCTCCTTGAACCAAATAATCCCCCTTTTCCTCTCTCTCTCTCTCTCTCCCTCTCTCTCTCTCTCTCTCTCTCCCTTCCCTTCACTTTCTTTGAGTCTCATGTGAGTTTCTTTCTACTGATGACCACAAAATCAGTATAGCTCAGGCCACAAGGCTGGTTAGCATCTGAGATGGGCAGGTGCTCTGCTGTTCCAAGGCTCTCTGGGTCGCAGGGCATGCTTGCATTCTCTGGGACATTTGGACATTTGTCAAGGTTTTACACACATGTGCTTCCATCCCGGCAAAATCCCAGGAAGGGGATGCTGTTATGGTCATTTGAAGGGGAGGGAGTGGGGCACGGAGGCGAGGAGCTGTATGTTGCAGGTCATGGAGCATGGACCATTGAGGCCAGGCTTGACCCGAGGCAGCTCATTCCATTTCCTCAGGCTCTGGAGAACCATGTTATATCAGTGCTGTATAGCGCTGCTGGTTCTGAGGGCAGTGTGCTGGGTCAAGAAGATTCTAGAAGTGTGTTGAGTCAAAACATACGTCCTGTGAGGTGGGATAAGCCCTTGAAGGTTCCCAAAGCGCTTTATGTCTACCTAATGTAGAAACTGGTTCTTGATTTGGATCTTTTGGTTTTGGGGGTCACACCTGGAAGTGCATGGGGCTTCCTCATGGCTCTGTGTTCAAGGGTCACCCCAGACGAAGGGACCCTGTGTGGTGACAGAGATTGAGCCTGGGTCAGCCGTGTGCAAGGCAAGAGCCTTAACCACTGTACAATCTCTCTGAAGGATAAAAGTGGGGGTGGGGGGAAGCCTTCCCCTTACACACACACACACACACACACACACACACACACACACACACAATGTTATCTGGTTTTGGATTTGTTCTGCTTCAGGGCCTGAGACCAGGTTAAGAAGAAGCCTGGGCTTGAGACTGGTACTAGAAATCTTGGTACAGAGATGGAGTCCAAGAGACATCCAGCTTGGGGTAGGTGTGGGTAACAAGAGCTCAGAGACTTGGTGGTTGAGGGGTGGCTCTGCAGGAGACTCATATGCCCAGAGTGCAAGTCCCTAACTGTGCCAGACCCTGGAGGCTGCCCCACTCACCCGTGCCCACTCTATAGCAGCCCTGGCAGAGGCGGCCAAACCTCTGCCAGAAACATCCTGGCAGTGAGAAGCGTCACTTTTCTTTTAATGACTCCTAGCCTCTCGCAGGATCGGGGACACAGTTAACAGATTCTCCTCAACCTTCCCTGTGTGTCCCACCCATCCTATATTTTCATCTTTCGGGGAGAGAAAACGTCTGCTGTGCCATCCTCCAGTTTTCTGACATTTAAGCAATAATCACTTTCCTGGGAGTTGCAGAGAAAAAAAAATTGGGTAACCCTTTCGGTGTGATTGTAATGCTACTCTTCATGCATTAGGGTTTAGAAACAGATTTTCACTTTTTGAAAGATAGGGTAGAGGAATAGAGGCTTTCCCTTAATTGCTAATGCTTTTATTTCTGAAAAGTAGTCTTCTATTGGTTTCCTGGGAAGGGGCAGAGTTTTCTCCTCTTTGACAGTTGTTCGAAAACTTGATGTAAGGATCAATCCATGGACAGGGAGGGCGGGTCCTACAATCTTTCGGGAATTTTGATAGGTCCTTCACCCTTTTAATTTAAAAAGGGGAATGAAAAAAACAGTTCTGATTTGGGGAAGCTAAGAACAGCGGAAGAAGAAATCCCCTTCAAACTTTCCTAAGTCTGAAAGAGGCAGTCGATCAGATCTGCACGAAATCTGAAATTTTTGCACGGCGAACAGAAAAACTTCCATTCACCATGAATGTCACATCCGCACAGCGTCTGAAGTTTTCATTTAAAAATCAACTTGATGGTGTGTGTGTGTGTGTGTGTGTGTGTGTGTGTGTGTGTGTGTGTGCATCTGGAATGGCGGGGCTGGGAGTGGGGGAGCTGTCTTGAACCTGCCACCATCCTGGTCTTCCCTGGAGCCAGTCGTTGTTCAAACTTTCATTCTTACAATAAACATGCTCTTAAGAACAAAAACGAACGGAGGGAGAGGGAGAGAGACAGAGACAGAGACAGAGAGACACACACAGAGAGAGGGAGAGAGACACAGAGAGAGAGAGAGACACTCTTTTCTTCCCGCCTGTCACGGAAAAGCAGCTCCTCAAATATTTATCTTAAACATCAGTGTGATTGGGGGTGGGGGGTGGGGGCTGAATAGGGTTCCCTTGTCTGACAGGCAGCCAGTTCCCCAAACTTTTATTTCTAAATTGCATTAGAATTTGGGGGGGGGGGAGGCAACACTAGGGCTGGCCCCATTCACCCTGGAGAGTCTTGCATCAGGCCAGCTCTGCAAACTTTATTTGAAAAATCCATCTGATTTTCTTTTTTTGTGTGTGTGTGTGCGGGGGTGTGCGTGTGTGTGTTTGGGGGTGGGTGGACTGCGGGAGCGTTCCCATGACCCCCCTCTCTCCCTCTGCCCAGCGCCAGCTCCCCAAACTTTGCCCCCACTCCCCTTACCCCTGTGGCCCCCACCCCGCCCCGCCCCCTCCCCCCTGCAATGTGACCGTGACCCCGCGGAGGGGCTCGCCCGAGCCGGGGGTGGGGGGGCGGGGGGTGGGCGCGTGCGTGCGCGCGTGCCGGCGGGGGCGGGCGCGGCGGCGCGGGAAAGTTTGGGGGGCGTCGGCGCGGCGCGGCCCGGGGGGCCCGGCCGGCTTTGTGTGCGCGGCGCGGCGGCCGGCGGCGGCGCCCAGGCCGAGGCCAGGCCCGGAGCGGGCGGCGGCGGCGGCGGCGGCGGGGGCGGCGGCGCGCGGGGGGCGGCGGCGGCGGCGGCGGCGCGGCGGCGGCGGCGGGCGCGGGCCGCGCGGGGGGGCCGGGCCGGGCCCCCCCCCCGCGCGCCCCCCGCGCCCCCGCCCCCCCGGCGGCTCGGGCGGGGGAGGCGGCGGCGGCGGCGGCGGCGGCGGCATTGTGCGCGCACGGGCGGCCCGGAGCAGCGGGACGCGCCGGGACCCATGAGCCAGCCGGGCGGCGCGGCGGCGGCGGCGGCGGCGGCGGCGGCGGCGGCGGCGGCGGCGGCTCCGCAGGTACGCGGGGCCCGGGCGGGCGGCGCGCGGGGGCGCGGGGGGCGCGCGGGGTCCCCGCCCGGCGCCCCTCCGGCCGCGGGCTGGGGCCGGCGCCCCGAAAACAAAGCGGCCGGGGGACGCGGCAGCAGCCATTTCAGCCTGGACAATCCACATTTTGCAAAAAAAAGAAAAGAAAAAATAAGAGAAAAAGCCACCCCGGGGGCAGCCCCGGGCCCCCCTCCTGCCTGCCCCCCGGCCGGCAGTTTCTCCCTGGCCCTTGGGTGCCCGGGGGGGTCCCCGATGACCCCCTGCCGCCCCCGCCGGGACGTCTTTCCGCCCTGTCCCCCCCTCGTCTTTGCAACAATTTTTTTTTAGGCCCTATTTCCCTTTCTCAATTTTTTTTTCTAATTTTTCTTCAAACGGTAGTTTTTTCCCATTAAAACGACGCCACCTAGAGGATACTATTTTGTAAATAGAAAAAAAAAGAGAGAGAAATTAAAATTGAAAAGAAATAATTCTTATTTCTTATTTCCCCCAAAGTTTGCACTTTTCAGGCAGGGGAGGGAAGAGATTCTTTTTCTTTTCCTTTTTTGCTGTGCTGGGAGGGTGCGAATTTTCACTTTGATCTTTCCAGGAATATGGAGACAATTTTTTATTTCCGAAGCCAAATCCAGATAATATGTAAATGAAAATTAAGCTAGAATTTGAATGAATTCCGTTTTTTGAAGGGGAGAAAGCAAAAATGTTCCGAAAACCAAAGTCAGGTTGGCTGCTCAACTCATTTTAGTTTGAGGAAAAAAACTAATTGAGATGAGGAAAGGAGGGAAATTGTTGAGTTTAGGGAAATCTGAGAGAATTGGCTTTATGAAGCAATTAGAAATTGTACTTCATTGCAATTTGGAACTTGTTTAGCTCAGCGGGCAAAAAAGACTAATTTCACCATTTGGCAATATTTAAAGTTTTTCTATTTCCAAGAAGGAGGATTTAAAAAGGGAAAATAGATTCTTAAAATATTGGCTTTGGACACACCCAAATTTGTGTTTTTTTTTTTAAATTTGCATTTACATTTTACTGCATTTAAACCCTAAGGTTCTAAAGAAAAATAGAAACTGGAAAAGTTAGAGTGAAACCTTGTCTTTTTTCTCCTGCATTTGTTGGGTTTTGTGTCTTTTTTTTTTTTGATGGAATAATTAAGATTATTTTCTGATTTTGTTTCCTGAAAGGTCTAAGCAATTCTTTTTTTGTTGTTGTTGTTCCATCCAGAAAATATGAGGAACCTTTTTTGAGCAATATTCTGTAGGAAAAAAATGGAAATTTATTGCATTATACAAATTGAGTAACCCACAGATTTGTAGGAGAGACCGCCATTAAAATAAGATATGCATAATTAACATTATTATGAAAAAACTAACAGTGGATTCACAGAAGCTCATTTTTTATGACATGCAACTGAATCTGGTGATAAAGACAAGGTTTAAGGAATCCTTGGTAGATAGAAATTTTCCTTCTCTATTCCTGCTTACTCTTTCAATTTGAAAATTTTATGATTTAAAAAAAAAAAAATCCAGATTGGTTTCTGGCCTCTCTGATTGTGATGTGAGGTTGATAATTTATTAACATTTGGTATTTTTCTTTACAATTTTGATTACTTTCAAAAGGAGAAAAAATCCATAGCTTTCATTATTTGGTGGGGGGGGTGGTCTGTGAAATTTTTTTTTTTTAGCACAAATTTTACTGACTAAACCAGAAGGAGAGAAGAAGAGGGAAGAATAGAGGGAAATGCTTCCTACCCTTCTTCTCTGATGGAACACTTACTTTGAAGAAAATGGGGGTAAACCAGCCATTCAGCTGATTCTAACCTCAAAATTTAATTTCTGAAAGGAAAAAAATAAAAAGACAAACAAAAGCTTAAGCCAAGGGCAGTTGTCTCTGGAAGATGAAAGCCTGTATGCAAACAGTATTTGATGTAGTTTTTTGGCCTTAAGATGAATCAGATGAAGGTGAAACAAACAAAAAAAAATCCCTCCCCCCTCCCTGGCAAATATTGACTGAATTGAAATTTAATTTAACAGATGAAAATAAGGTACCCACCCAGAGTTGAAGGTTTATATTTATGATACATTAGTAGCTGATTGAACATGTTGGGAATTTTGAATTTAAAAAAAAAAAGTTACTTTTTTTTTTTTCCTTTCCAAAGGAAGGGCAATATTGTTGGGTCTTGCAGGGTAAGATCTCGATGAGGTTCTTGATCAGACTGTCCCCGTCTCTTGCCCCCGCAACAGGGTAAGAAGGGAAATGGTTGCCTCCTTTGCTAGTCTCCAGATGATCTTGGAAGAAATGGTGCCCCAACTCTTAGCTCGATTGCCAACTCCATTTTGTGGGGATTCACATTTCTAAGGGGAGGTACATTTTGTGAAATCTCTTTGACAATGGCAGAAATCCCACACTTCCCAACATGGCCATTGCATTTAGGACGCTTTATTTTTTTAGTAACACAATCCGTCAAGGCTGACTGGCCACATTCTGACATCTTCAGAATGAGATTTTTTTTTTAAATAGCATAATTAAAAAAAATTTTTTTTTTCCTTTTGAATTATTTAGGTCGATGCCTTAGAACCGTCTAAAAATTTATAATTTTTAAGAGCTCGGAAGGTTTTCTTGAGACAGTGGGCCTGAGTTTTGCAAGTGATGGAGGGGAAACCGGGACTTGGAAGGGGTTAGCTGAGCACCCCTCCGGACCATCTGCAAGAAACCCGAAATAGTAATAAAGTCCGATGGAAGATAACAGGTTAGGGCTGGTGCAAGGAAGGAAACCATCGCCGCCCATCCTTTTGTCCTGACCCGGGGTTCTAAGTCCTTTATTCTGTGCTGCCAAAATTTGGTTGGTTTCAAAGAGAAGAAGCCCTCGCAAGAAGTTGACCATCATTCATTTCTGGTGTGTTGATTCCTGTGCCCCTCCAAGAGAAAAATCAGTCATGGTGATCGTGTTTGTTGGAATGGAAATTGAGGTGCATGATGGTCTGTGGTGGTGTGTGTGTGGGGGGGGGCAGCTCTTTGTTTCTGTTGGTGTCTACCCAAGATACAGGTCTGACCTGACCTTGCCCCCTCTCCCCTCCTGTTTCTCATGCCAGTGGACCAGAAATGGCTCCGTGCGCTCATTTCTACTAGTCCGCGTCTGTTCACCATTCTTGCCCACCGCCCGACATTGGCTGGATTTTGTGTCCTTTCGGTTTGGTTTGCTTTGCGTAGCATAACTAAGATTGTTCACCATGCTCCCTTCCAACATTGGGCGAAAACTCTGGCATATTGGACTCGAGGGGTGGTAATTTGATGATGGGCTGAGTTATTTTGGTGAAAGGTCATCATTTATACAGTTTCACAGTGGAGACTCTTATTACTTAATGTTTTGCTTTTCTGCCTTAGGAGTTTTTTTTTTTTCTAATAAGGTTTGAAATTTCAAGGGCCAGCTTTATAGCTTGACTTTGGACCAAGCTTGGAAAAAAAAAAAAAGAATTTGCTTATACTTTCAGCCCTGCACAGAGGTGAACTCAAACAAGGCCTCTTGCTTTGCAGAAGGAAAGCAACAAAGAATGGCGGTCAGTGGGCAGCTGACCGCTCACTCCCTGGGCCTCGGAAGTAAATAGCCAATGCTCTGTTTCATCGGGGACACGGAGGTTAAAAACTCCCGCATTGTCGTACTGTTTCCTCTCTCCTGCCTTTGACTTTGCTCTTGGTGTGCTGTTTTCCCATGACTTCCCAGTCCTTCTCCTCTGTGGCATGAGGAGACCATCCTTGCCCTCTTGCTCTGGAATGTTCAAACTGGACTTTTCATGATCGTGGTGGAATTTTGAGTTTCCCCCTCCATGTAATCTTTTTATGTGTCAGAGGCGTTATCACCCTGGTGATGTAGAGTGGATCTGGGGGTTCACAGGCTCTCTGGGTTCTTGGGGGGGTCTTACGGTTGTACCACTTTGGCCAGATCTTGGTTTTCCCTCTGTGCATGTACTTATGAAATGAGAGCTTTGGGTCAGAACACAGGTCAGTCAGTGGGTTTCTATCTCTCCACACCCTGGCAAAGCCGGAGAGGCAGGGCCTGCTCGTGGATGGCCAAATCGATGTCTTGATCTCAGTTAGCATTAAAACTACCAAGAATCGAATATGGGGGACAGAAAATGACAGAGGCACTGTCTTAAAGGGAAGGTGGGGCTTATGAAACTGTTTGGTTTCCATTGGCCGGTGTCATCTGTGCATGGTGAGAGCTATTTATAACTTCTACCATGACCCATGGTCCCAGGATTCGGAGAGGAACAGGACTGGGTGGTCTTTTGGGAGGTGCAGCGGTGTCATAAGTTGCATATGATTCTCATACCATGTTTTACCCTCACCCCCCGGGTCCTTCCAGCTGACTTCATTGGGAACCCTTGGAGGGGGAGTATCCTGTGCCACATGCCTTGGCCCCCAGTTGAGCTTGTCACAGGACCATCTATAAAGAAACCTGAGCTTTGTGGCAACCAAGCGTTTGTAGGCGTGGGCTGTGGATTGAGGGGAAGGGCCAGCGAGGGGGGCAGGCAGGGGGTCCCATGGAGCTCACCCTTCCCCTGGTGGCAGAGAGAACTCTCAAAGTCCCTTTTATTCCTCACTTTTATTTCACATTGTCCGGGGTGATGGAGGGTGGTGGTGGTGGTGGTGTGTGTATGTGTTTCTGGTTAGAGAGTTCATATTTGTTTTATATTTATACTTTATTCAGCCACTATGAGTGTCAATGTTTCTGTGTGTTCGAACTTACTATACAGTCATCAGTTCCCCCCAGGAACGCTGTCTCACTCTCCTCAATATTTTTGCATATGTCCTATGGACATTTGTCCCATAGGAACACGCTTCACGCTGGACATGCAAGACCCCTATCTACTTTGTCTAGTAACGCTGTAAGAAGGGAGGAAGAAATGGGTGAAATTCATTGTAATCAGACAGTGCAGGACATCCCTCGTTAGTATTAGAATTAATACTAATTCTAATTAGTA